ATTTGGGACTGTAATGCTTCGGCATCCTCTGAGGTCATGTTCATAGTGTTATTCACATTGWTCTTTTTCATAAGGTGCAAACTTGTCCAGAGTTATCTTATCCTCAGTGTTTATCCCAAGACAGCAGAATTACTAGGTTTATTTTTGTTAGTTTTGTAACGCAGAAATGTCGAGGATCAGCATACTAGCCGTTACATCACTGCACTTGGCATGTGCTGTTGGCACAGATAAGAGGAACTGTTGTAATAGCCTTAATCTCTCTCTTTTTTTCATTATTATTAATTTTCCTACAGTAAATTGAGTAGTAAGGCATATTTTATGTAATTATGGCAGAAGTGCACAGCTTGACGGGTGGTAGCAAAGAAGCAAAGTAATATAAATATTTGCAGAAGGTTTCTGCCATAACTTAATGCTTTGCATATGAACCTTCGTAAAGATTCAGAGTTAGCTTAAAGGAATAAGTCCAGAAGTCTACATAGGTTCAGACATTTTAAGAGCTGTGAATGATGACTGTGGAGCATCTCTGGGAGTTTTTGGCCCAACATGCAAAACAGAAAAGAGAAGGAGGAAAAGTCAGCGGGAAGGAGTTAGCAAACGCTTTGGGAATGGAGGCGGGAGAAGACACAAGCTTTCCATGTGCGAGTCTTACGCCTGATTCATCTATTTGTTTTTGGATTGTTGCTTTTCTTTGAGTGACTGCATTTCGCTGGAGACATATTTTCACTTAGCAAATGATTGCAGCACTTGAAAAAACTCCTGCAAGCACGTATCTCCTGTGGGTTCAAGACCCAAAGCAGAGATGATCGAAGGGAATAGAAGAACAAATCTCCACTGTTAAGTGCAGAGTCTGTTGGTTTAACAGCCAAGCTGTCCTGAGCAGCCCTGGAGTAGCAATGTGTGGCTGCTGTGTATCCACAGCTGCTGCCACCAAGGGCAGTCCTGCTCCCACCCAACACGGCTGATTCCTCTGATTTCCGCTGGTGTAACTGCAAGGATATAAACTCCTCTGGACAGGAGACYTGAGAGCACGAGTCCAGCTAGGGCAGTCTGAGTCTGCCCACAGACAGGCCTGTCTCCATTGGATGGGGTTGCAGAGCAGCCTCCCTTCCCCAACCTAACTCGATTTCCCCTTGCGTTCACCTGCCCTATTTTGTATTTGCCCCTTTTCTTCAGAAATTGCACAAATAACTTCTTTGAAAATTTCTGCATATTGTAGGAGTCCAAATCCCATTTTCAAATGTGAGTTGAGCCTGTCAGAGATGGTTTCATTAAAATCAATGCAGCTTAGATTGACCCCGGTAAGAACAAGGTTTAGACTCCTACTATTCCTTGCACTTTTGAAAGTATAATCCCTAAACTGTACCACAGGCATTTTGCTTTCCTGTGATTACTCTCACAATGCGGAATTGCATCTCAGCCTGTCTGACTGAAATCCAAACCCTTAGTGCAAACATGTCATCACTTGTTCCTCATGAAGATTTCAAGCTAGATGCACTGAAGCCGCAAGGTCAACACCTTGAAGAGCACAACACAGCTTGCTGCATAATCTTTATACATGAGCCGCAGGCTGTTATGCTCCCCCCTTGCCAACTCGACCAATTTTAAAAGACAATCCAGCAGTTTTAATGGGCTGCTTTACAGCTGACTGCTAAACTGATTCTATCATAATAAAATGCATCTGCATTTATAGTGTTTTTCAAAGAACTTTCAGTATTCATTTAATATAACTCTTCGCAAAAGAAATTGGGGGAGGATGCTAATATTACCTTTGCTATTTAAATCTTATAAGCTTGGACCTAATAGTAAAGGATTAAAAAGGTAAACCTGCAGACAAGGCTTTCTTCCTGAGTAGTCACCTAGCTCTAACAACTCCCCGTAGCAGAAGGCTTTGGGGGAAGTACAGGAGGATTTTCTCAGTCTTTATATTAAAATGCATCTTTGCAAAAAGTATACTGGCTTAGAGTGCATATTTTATTCATCATCATTCATCAAGCTTCATTTTAGCATATCCCTGATTATAATGCATATTGAGTAAACTAATCAACTGCCAGCTTGGTGTGTGATCATAGCCTGTGCCTCAGGTAGTTGCCGTTGTCAATGCACAAAACGCTAAAGCATGGAGCCAAAACACCAAAAATAAACACAAGGGATTTAAATAGAAACTTGGTGTCGATCAATTAACAGTGGACAGGTAATTGCCTGCTTTGGAAAGCGTTTTCCCTAAATAACTTTACTGCTAGAAGAGCAATTGCTCTATCAATATGTTTGCTTCCTGCGTTGAGGGATTGGGAAACACCTATTGCTCTCCAAGCCAGTGTCCAGGTCAGTGTGAAAAAATACCTGGCACTTGAATCTCATGTTTAGCCTCAAAGCAGTGTCCTACCACTCAGGAGGAACAACACAGTTGTGCACTGTTTGTGACCTTCCTTTCCTTGTAAGGTTGTGTCAATCACATTTGTCTTAATCCTTTCCAAATTATAATGTTTATCTCTTTGGCTTTTTTTTTTCCTTTCCTTTCCTGACATGACTTTTCTTCTTTTATTCCTGCCAAAAGTATCCTTTTCCACTATATTCAATATTTCACCTGAAATATGTGATGTTCATGACCTTTTCTTCACTTTACTTTCTTTCTTGACACAGTTTCTCTACTATTATCCCAGCATTTTTTAGTCTTTGATCTCTGTTCTGGGTTTTTCCTCTCCAAAATCCCTCTTTCTTTCAATACCATAATTGCTATTTCAAACATGTCCTTTCAGTTCTCACTTTCTACCTAGCRAGCAGAAGAAAAATAAGTGTGGTTAGACAAAATGGGGAAAGGCTTGCAGTGTCTCCAGATTTTTGCAGGTCCCAAGACCTTGAATGTTTAATTTAAAGTTCCAAATCCTCTGGCCCTCTCTACCTGTGGATCAAAGACATGTCAATCTCCTCCTCCCCATTTCTGCCTTTTGCCCAAGACAGTGCAAGTAGGCCATTTTTAGGGTTCTTCCTTCTATCTGGTTCTCCTATGAGGAGATAATCTGCTACTCATTTTCTTTATTTTTGTGATTATTACAGAAGAGCCTCTTTCCCAAATTTTAGTTTTGATTTMTCTTCTTTAACAAGTTGTTCCAGTTGTTGTTCATCATTTCCAAGCTGTGAGAGGAAGCTATTGGTGTGATGATTTTCATTGCTATGGTGACAAATTCAGAATTAAGTTTTCTATCCTTGGAGACTTAGAGAAATCACTGAGTAGCTGGAAAGACACTGAAATGGGAAGCTCGCAGGCTCAGGAGGATGTGACTTCATTAACCTACTCTCAGTTCGTATTTTAATTACTAACTTTGCCTGCCTATASGTTGGGAAGTTTCCTTTTCATTTTAAACAAGCAAACAAACAAAAATTCTGTGAATTTGATAACCTGCTGATGCAGCTTCCTGCTTTTCTTAGACAAGTTGATTTTCAAAGCCTTAGTACCTCCACAGTCATGGTTTCWGCATTGCCTGTGCCTGTAATCCATTTTTTTTTCTACCTGAGAAGGAAGTTTACTTGGTGATTGAATATGAGCAAACATAACAGCATCTTTCTTATCTTGAATGTAGATCTTTTCTATCCTGTTTTTCTGTCTTTCCTTTCTCTCTCTCTCTAATGCAAACTACCACTATATAAAATAAAGAACAGTATATGTAATACTAAGAATAAGGACATGACCAAAAGACCACCCCTTGWTCTTCCAAAAAGGTTTGAAACGTTCCTGAGGTATTTTTCATAGACCAATGTTTTTAAATATCTCGAATCCACAACCATCATGTGAGGCCAAATAGACTTCTGCTTTTTTCTTATCTGAGGTTGTTGACCTCAGGAGAGGAGGAGAAGGTTACAGGGTCAAAGTCTTTTCCTCCTTGGAGCTTGCTGCTTGCTGGGAGAGGGTTGGCTGGAAAATAGATGTTTTAGAAAAAGGGTTGAGGGTCATGATTTTAATTCTGTTAGGGAACAGCTGGTTTGAGTTTCTTTTCACTTCTATCTTCCCTCCCTTCCTCACAAATCCATGGAGAGAAAAAAATTTGTTCAGGGGAAGGCAGTAACACAAAAATAAAGTATTCCAGTATTTTCATTTTTAAAATATGCCATGTTTGTTATAAGATTTCACATTAGGAGTGAGAAGAGGAAATTATTAAAATAATTGCACTCCATTGTTGTTTCAAGGATTGGATTGAGATTGATCTACAGTGCCACAGGTTTATTTGCTTTCCTGCCAAATGTCAGATTGGTAGTAGTGATATTGTAATGGTTTTTAGTGGACAAACAGTATAATTATAATAAGCATTATAATTTTAAAGTTAGCGATAGTTAAAGCTAATAATGTGCCACGATAGTTTGTATACAAGCCGTTGAAGGAAGATGATTTGCTCGGGCTATTTCTGTTCAGATTTTCTTCATCTTTTCATGCTGCTTTCATGCACTAAGACCAAAGAGAGAGAAGGAAACTCACAACTCTCAAATGAATGGCAAACTAGGAACAGATTTTTTGTCTGCACTCCTCTGAAAAACTGGCCTCAGGCTGTGTTGGTGTGTGGCTCAACAGCAATCAGAGGTCATAATTTCATTGGCGGTTAGCATCAGGTTTAATTTTTCTAATATGTTACATTTACCAAAATGTCTGGTTTCAGTTACACTTATGCACTGACTGAATCAGCTTTGAGCAGCATGATGTTTTAAGGTACCTGAAAGGCTACAAGAACATTTATGGAACACATATGCTAATTGTTTTTAACCACTTTCCTTTCTAAATACAAAAACGTGTTTTCAGAGAGCTATTTAACAGTAGTAGTTAGTGATAGTGTGCTTTTATTCTAAGAAATGAGCTCGAGGAATAGGTAAAATAGTTGTTTTAACAAGACTGCCATCTACTGATTTGCACAATTAAAAATAACCCTGATGAGTAGATCGTTCATTTTTTTTATAGCTTGTTTCTTGAAGGTTTGCAAGATAAAGAAAATCATAACGTCTTTCTGTCACCTCAGGAATGCGACCAGGTTCACATTGATGACGTGTCTTCGGACGACAACGGCCAAGATTTAAGGTAGAGCAGAACTGGGCGAGATAAAATGTTGCTTTTCAAGTTACCTTCGTGGGAAAGTGGTGAAGGGCTGCGGAACGTTACAGTAGTGCACTGTGTTTTTGTCTCTGCCTTTGCAATTTACCTGTCAATAGCTCATGGCCGAACTTTGCCTCTTAGGTTTTGTTAATTTGGGGGTTTTCTTGTATCCAAATAGCACCTATAACTTTGGAACAGATGGCTTTCCTGCGGCAGCCACCAGTGCTAATTTGTGCCTAGCGACGGGTGTGCGTGGAGGAGTGGACTGGATGAGAAAACTGGCCTTCCGCTACAGACGAGTAAAAGAAATATATAACACCTACAAAAATAATGTTGGAGGCAAGTAACTATGAAGTATATAATAGAGACAAATAACTATTGAAAAGGAAWTTTTTTTCTCCTGTTTTGTATTGCTTTTTTTTAAGGTAGTAGGGTTTCTTTCGTGAGTTGTTGGGCTTACTTTGTGTGGAAAAATTCTCTCTGAACTAACAAAAGCAAAGGAAAATGGCAGAACGCTCCTTAATTTCAGTGYAGACATGCCCTTATCTGTTCCACAGGTCTTCTTGGGCCAGCCAAGAGAGAGGCCTGGTTACAACTCCGAGCAGAAATTGAAGCTTTGACGGATTCCTGGTTGACACTTGCACTGAAAGCACTCACACTTATCCATTCAAGGTGTGTACCAAGAGTAAGGACTAGACAGGAAGCTCTTGGATGTCTATGGATATTTTAGAAGGTCTGCCAGGTCTGGTGCACAAAACATCTAAACTGGGGCACCTTCTCCTCCTCTCTCTCCTGATCTCACCTTGCTACTGTGTGCCTTACTCTCCTTTCAAATGAGAAAAACTAACTCCTTTRCAAAGAAATTGTGGCAATAGTAATGGAGAGGGTTTCCAGTGGGAGGGCTAAGGCATTTGTTTCTCCCTTTGTTTGGTTAAAAAAAGATGGATGTTTCTGTTTTCTGTTCTACAGGACAAATTGTGTGAACATTCTCGTAACAACTACTCAACTTATTCCAGCTCTGGCAAAAGTCCTGTTGTATGGATTAGGGGTTGTATTTCCCATAGAGAATATTTACAGTGCAACTAAAATAGGTGAGTTATTTGTACAGTGTGATATATTTAAAGTTGTAATTCTAAACAAAAAGCTATGTTAATCTATATTTATTTCTTAACATATATTCACTATAGCTCAGGGGTAGTAACCATAACTGATCTCAGGAAACACTTCTTATACAGAGGCATCCTAAATCTGCTTTACAAATGTGTGTCATGATGCAGCACAGAAGACTTCATACATCTCTATAAACACTGAAGCAACCTCTAGTAGGAGGCAATACAATAGCTTTTTGACATCATTTCTCAGAACCATGAGACTATGGAGCAGTTTAGATCATTTTTAGTATCCTGTAAACTCAGAACATTCAAATAATACTAGCTTAACTGAGGAAATTCTATAATTGTAAGCCTCGACTGCATTCATTTTCATACRCTGTGAAACAAATTTTGATAAATAATTTACCAGAAGCAAGAATGTTTTGCTGCAGAAGGTAATTATTTAAGTTCATGCATATTGAATATAATATGCTTCAGCCAGAAATGTTTATTTCTGTCTTCTGGTTCAGTATATAGGATGTTATTTTGAGCATGTAGAAATACATAGTACCATATGGCAAGGGTGCTTTTAGTGTTTAACGTGATTATGACATATCTGTTCTGTCTCAGATTCCCTCCAAATTGTGGGCTACATGAAAACAATTTTCATGTGTTCTTAAATATCTATAATACAGGGAAGCTCAAATGGCCAAGAAAAACTGGTGGGTTGTTTTTGATTGCTTGTTTTTGGCTTTTATAAATCCTGGTTGAGAATTTTATGTAAAAAATTGAAAGTATTGCAATAAAAGTTTTAAAACTATTTCCTAGATATAATCAATGCTGTACTCTTTCTAAGAACTTTAAACTGAAATTTTGAATTATAATACTTTAGATATACACTTTAATTAAAACATTTTAAATAAATGTTCATTTTCAACTTAAAAGGCACAAGAAAGAAGCTTATTTTTGGAATGCTGAGTTCAGTCACTGACTGTCACAGACAATCATGAGATTTCTGTAACACAGAAAGATATATAATTTCTGAGCACTAGTTAGTGTTGGATTTTCTGTCTCATGCTATTATTTAAGGGTATTCTTGAATAGTTTTGTTTCTCTGCTTTATAGAAACCTTTGTTTAATTTCCAATCTATTCATTTTTGAGCTGGCACTGTCCTGTAATATTTCTGAAACCTTATTTTTCTTTTTGGGTGCTTTAGACATACAGTAGACACACAGGTAAGCATGTATTTATGAGCAGACTGAAGAAATCTTTCAGAATGGGAACATTTAACAGCATTTTACWTCACAATCTTTCTGAGTTCCTGGGCTTAGCAGCTGAAAATATATGTAGAGTTCACAGTATTGTGGTTCATTTTGCTAGGTTTAAGCAATGAAGTAATGAGCCCAGTGCTGGATCAATGGCCTTGTCCATGTATTGTATTACAGGCATTTAAATCTAAATCTTTCTGGTGACTCTCTAATTCAAGATACTACTGTTTCAGGAGCTGTGATTAATCTTGTCACAGGCTGTAGAGACAAAGCTAGAATTTCGACTTGGATTCAAACAATGTGCTCCGTTCAGGATCCTTGGCTGTAAGCAGCCAGTGGAGAATTCTGCTGGTAGGGAAATTCCCTTGGAAACTTGTCTCAGGTTGGTACAGGAGACATGAAAGGTGATACCCCAAGGTGGCTCGCTGGTATACCACATTTACCAGGTCATGGCTATTAAAGGACATTACCGAGCAGATTTTAAGGTTGTCTGTCAGGTGCTCTAGCAGCAGGAAAGCTGCAGTGGGGCCCCAACCCATCAGCACCCTGCTGATGCTCCTTCCTATTCATCCTGCAGGAGAGCATTCTTTCTCATCCCTCTCAGTAGAGCTAATTATGTATTGGAAGTGTTGGGCTAGTCCAGGCTAAAATAATTTTTAAAATGATTTAATTGTTTCCCATTACTGCATATCCTGAATAGTCTGATCTTTTTTTTCTTTCAGGAAAGGAAAGTTGTTTTGAGCGAATAATTCAAAGATTTGGAAGAAAAGTAGTATATGTTGTTATAGGAGATGGTGTTGAAGAGGAACAAGGTGCAAAAAAGGTAATGGCCCTTTCTCAATGCAGGTCAATTCCAGGAGTGTGAAAGCAAAAAAATGTCCTTTCTGACATATTGTGGACTGAAATTGGATTTTTTTTTTATCTTTGCTTTATGAAATGTGATGTTTTGGTTGTATCTGGTGGAAGACTGCATAAAATTGTACATAACAATGAGCCCCACAGTTACCCAAAGGACGCTTTGGGGTAGCTATGTACATTTGACTTAGTTCAAAAGGGAGCCAGAAAAAAAGTCCCTGACTTTTGTGCCAAGAATTAATAGTTCTGTTTTTCTTGGCATCCCAAAATACTGAACAGGCAGTTATCAGTGTAAGTAAAAAAAATGGTGGTTCTTTTGATTGAAGACTGAAGTAGGAAAACGGCCATTTCTGCTCTTGCTCCATTCTACAGGTAAACCGCTTTTCCACAATTTCCCTTTTATCCTTAAAATCGCTCTCCGTGGGGCTGCTATGGCTCTTTCCACCGTCACCTTCTGAATGGGCAAGAGCAGCTAAGCCGCGCGCCCGGCGTTCCGCGAGAGGCACCGCTGGCTGGTTTCGCTGCACCAAATAGGGGGGTTGTCCCCAGCTGGTTTCGCTCCATCAAATGTSGGGGTTTGGCCCTGGGAAGGGCTCCGAGTAGTTTCCCGGCTCGGCGCTTTGCAAGAGTCGGTCTCATATATCCCTTTGGCGGACGGACGGGAACAGTTTGCTCCTTTCTCCTGCAGAAATGCCTTTCATCTTTGCAGAGAAATGTTTTCCCGCTGTAAATGATTACATTTTAAAAGCTGCATTTAAGATCCGAGGGGAAAAAAAAAGTCTTCTCTTTGTTCCCTTTCTGTTCCGTGGTGAAAAAAAGTGTTGTATATGATAATGGCAGGAGTAGTCCTTTCGGTAACATTATCTAATTCAATACTTTTTTCTGCAGGAAACATGATTCAGAAAAGCATAAGAAAAAGAGCCTTGCCAGTTGCTAAGAGAAGTAGCCATATAGAAAGTTCCTTTGTGCCATTACTGCTGTATATTCTTTCTTGGTGGAAGGAATTTCCAGATTTAAAGAATGCTAGATGCTCTGGATTAAATTATCTGCTACAGCAAAGCCAGAGAAGTCACTAAGTATACCAGCAGGCCTGCAGAAGTGCACTTTCTGCAGAAACTATTAATTTGATTAAGGAAAAGGGTTTTATGGTTCTTGTCCTGTTTCTTACTCCGCCTAGAAAGACCCTAGTATTTCCAACTGCACAAGTGAGCTTTGCCTTTAGCTTTTGGCCTTCACAGGGTGGAAGAGGAAGGACTACACATTGCCATGCAGCAGGAGCTGCTCCCAGTTCCTATGAAGTCTTATTTCTGTCCACTCCTTGGCTTGTTCCTAGCATTCCTAGGAGGAGCAGGCGTGGGATGCCTGCTGGTGATCAGAACCCCTCCGTACCAGCACATGCCCAGCAAATAAATGGCATTGCTCTCACACATAGAGTAAAAACCTAGCCCTTGTCCACAGTGTGTACCAACAAAAKAGAGGATTTCCTACCTCAAAAAAATCCCAAACCCATCCACACAAACTGATTTAACCACCCCTAGAAGTGCCCTCTGCCCTGCTTATCCCTTCACAGTGTAGCTGCTTCCTTCCCTTGCTCCTTCCTTTGCATAAGCAGCTCTTTGTCAGGGTAGGGGCAGGCCCCTGCTGCAGCACCCCGCTGAAGAAGTTTGGTGGGCGCTGAGGCCCCTAGTTTATGTAGATTTATTTACACTACACTTTGCATATACGCTGAGCCTGTCTTTTTTCAAGTTTACATATCGCTTCACTGATTACATATAAGCTACGCAAGGAATACTGCCAAGTGAGGATAGAAATTCAAGTTTATTTCATCTGTGAGGTTTGTATTCTGTGCTCCTTTTAGTGGAAAGTGCTGAACTTCCAGATTAGGAAGCAGGAAAGTTAAGGTTTGTTATTAAAATTAGCTTACCAGCAATTTAGCCAGTTGTTTCATCATAAAACAAGATTTTTGTTTATGTCCATTATTTACTAGAAGTATTTTGCATTATTGTTGCTGCGGTAAAGATTTAGTAATCTAGGTTTTTTTTATTTACTAATACAGTTTAAAAGATTAATCTCCTTTAGAAGTATTCCGAGGCTGCATTTTTTTTTTGTTTTTATAAGGAAAAAGAGTGCTTCTTTTGATGAAAACAAATGCGCAGAGGAAACCTCACACTCTTACGTTTCACGCAGCATGGGACAAGCCACGGCATCAACACCTTTGTTTCTCTGCCATTTCCTGCAAAATATTTTATTAAGAAAACTCGAGTTCTGGGACCTTTGCGTGGCAGCCTGTGGAAAGGCCCTACCCTTGTGGCCCGGCTCCCCAAGCAGTCGGGGCAGCTGCAGCTCCCGAGTTCACAGGGAAGGGCCTTTCTTTTTTATATTATTATTATTATTWTTGTTTATTTTTATTTCACAAACAAAGGGGTGAAATACTCGCAAAGCAGAAATTCAGAAAAAAAGCAACTCTTTGAGGTTTTTTTTCCCGCTGCGGAGAGTCCTCCGCGGGATTCGGAGCGCGGGCGCTGAGGCGAAGGAAGAGGCTCCGGGCGCCCCGGAGYTGGATTTCACATCAGGTGCCTGGGGAGAGCGTGGGCAAATCGGCGGCTGCCTTTGCGTTTCTGCAAAGTGGTCGGGCTGCTTTTGTGGCGGGGAAGGAAACTGGGAGGAAAAACCATAAATCTTTGCRGAGCAATAAATAGAATATAAATGGGTATCCAATATGCCACTGTTTTAAAGCTCACAGTCACACTGTGCTGTTCGGGTTTGTGATAGGAAGTAAAGACGACTGCTTAGCAAAACCTGGCAGAAATACAACAAAAATACCAGGGAAGGTGACAGAAACTTATGAGTTTTCTACTCAGATATGTTTCAAGTCTCGGGAGTGAGTTTTTTGTATAAATATGTACTCTTCTAGGGAAAGGAAGATAATCTGCACTTTTCAGCATTGCCCAGTCAAAAAATGGCTTTATTTTGCATGCATTACTGAATAGAAATACGTCATTTTCTTTGAAATAGCTGTGGGTTTCTGTTTTTTTAGTAAACACACACTGTAAAAAATAATATTGTTTTTATTTCAGGAAGGAAATTCTTTAATAATTTTGCAGTTATTTAATAATTTTATAATTGTTAGCTTTAATAATTTAATAAGGGCTGAACTACTGATGTCTTTTTACACCAAACAATACCAAAGTCAGCCTTTCCCCACCTTATTTCAATTCAAAGTGTCATCGAAAGGTAAATCATTAGAGAGGTCAGAAAAGTACTCATTATCCAGTATCATGTATTRCTAAAGATCTACAAAACTCATGATTTTAGTTGAAAAAAGGGCCCATATTTACTTGGACAATATTAAAACCGTACAGAAAATTGTTGTTTTATGACCAGTCTAGATACACATATCTCCGGTAAGCAATAAGAAAAACTTGCTCAYGTTTTCATTATATACTCCTGCATGCAGTCAGACTGCGTGTCATTAGCAGTTAGCATTTGCCATCCAGCCTCACACAGCAGTGAGATATTACTATTTTTCAACGTGCTTAGAATAGGAGGCACCTGTTGTGTATCACATGTGGGGTAAGTGTTGGCAGGGGTGACTTTCTAAACGCAATATTGGGTAAATAATCTATCAAAAGAGACTCTTCCTGCCTGGGCATCTGGCGAGAAAAATGGGCCGCTGTCTCAGGGCTGTGTTGTCGCTGTTGAGAAGGCAGATAGTGGTGCTTGCTAACACAGGAATGATGTGTGAGGTCCTGTACAMTCATTTCTGTTATCTTAAATAAGGGGAAAATCTTTGTACAGTGAAATATGCACAAATATGTGTGTGTGTATATATACATACACACATGGATATATATAGATATGGATCAAGTTTGTTTCCCCTCCTGTTAGCTATGCAGTATGTGCCATCAGATCAAGCTGATACGGATCTGATTCGGCCACCAGAGACCTGTGCACAGAGGTCTCGTGCAGATTCCAGCTCGCTGGCAGCAACTGCATTCCCAGCATGTTTTATTTGCTACAAGAGTATTATTGGCCCTTTGACCTATAAGTAGGAGAACTGAAAATAGTTGTAATCCTAAGACTTACACTTTTTTTTTCACAAGACTTCCCAGGCCTGATCTTTCCAGTCCTCGCTCCTTTAAGTAAATGGAGGCATCCTCCTTTCACAGGGCAAATAAAAGCAAAGGACATTTAAGTGAATATCAAGCCGAAATAAGGTCTACTTAAAATTTTCAGTTAAAACCTGACYGTAAACAGCTGAGACTAATCCAAAACTGATATTGCACATGGACATTCAGCGAGGATCACTGTGGTCTGATTTAGCAGAGGCCTAACCTTCTGCTAAGCCCATCAGGTACAGCAAGCTCCCTGGATGCCTCATGTACTCCCTGTGACGCTGAGGCTGTAACTGGGGAAGCAGATAGTGAGGGGGCCAAGGATTTGACACTACACTCTTCATTAATTCACTGCACAACCTCAGGCAGCTTCCATGTCCTTGACTCTTGGCTTCTGTGTGGACACTTGTCAAAGGCAGACGTCCACCAGGCTCTCCACCATGCCACATCACACATGTGTTATTTATGCCTCTGATGCAGCATTCAGGTAGAAGTGGTACCAGGCTGACCTCGTGGAGCAGAGTGATGGCTAACAGCAGGGAGAACAGCTCCCTGCTCTCTAGTGGTGGGAAAGGGCTGAAATCCAGAAGTGAGGGGTGCAGGCCTGCTGAGCAGCAGCAGCTCCGGGCAGAGAGCCCCTCGGGTGCTGCCCAAACCCGCCGCAAGCAGCAGCCTGTGCCCAGGTGGTTTTCAGTGTAGAGCTCCTTCAGGTGCTGCACACGCTGCCAGGAAGATCTCCTGGCCTAAGTGAGGTGGCTAGGCAGAACCTATCTTTTGCAAAGCCTAGAAAACACCACAAATAAGGATTTTTATTTCTTTTTGCTAGTGTCGATTCATTTCCTGAACATGCAGAAGTAAAGGTTTAGGAAAGATTTAAGCTAGAAAGCAGCCGTGCCTGGCTTGACAGAATGGAGGGGACAGCCTGTCTGCGCAGTGTAAGGGGAAAGACCCTGGGAAATGGATATGGAAGGTGGCGAGCTAGCTGCACGTAGCACAGAGACAACACAGTGGGAGTCTCACTCAAAGGTGCAGAGATAGTAGACGTCACAGTTGATATTTTACAACTTCCTTCCTAGGGAAAGTAATGTGGAAAAGTCTTCTGGAAAGATTATAAGTGCTTCCAGCATCATCTCACTTGTCTCTGAATTTTTCTCCCTGAAAAAATGATAATCATACAGTTGGCTCTGTGAGCAGCTGTGGCTCCCTTGTTGTTTTTCATGCTGAGATTCAGTTTGCTCCTTCTCAAGGCGTTGTGACAACTAGAATAAAACAGCACATCTCAGAAACCATTCCAATGGTATTTCCTTGTGGGTCACTTTATTTTCTTCCTGGGGAAGATTCTTTGCTCTAGAAGCTAGACATTATCTGAACATGGACATCTCCTGAAGCATCTATATAACTAACCAAGAGTGTATAGTCCAGGTGCTCACCAGACGTAATTCAGCTGCTAATGAGCATTTTTCCATGATAAGCCAACTAGAGCTATCCTGAGTTGAAACCCCATAAATGTGCATACTGTGGACAGGGGGTGCCCAGCACCACCTCTTTAGCTCTGCAACCCACTCTTACTGTGCAACGGGGCTTGCTAAAGCACAGCCTCTTAGTCCATATTCTGCCCTGTATTTGGTGTGCACTTCCCAGTTTGCTTCTAGTGCTCCGTTGCTGATCACGTAGCACAAGGTCTTCCTGATCTCTGTGCATGTTTTCAGCATCATCTCTGCTGTCTCTCGGAAGATCTACAGTTGCTTGTTCCTCAAAGGTTGCCATTTGACATGACAGACTTGCCCACTTACCCAGTTACACTTCTTTTCACAATGTCTACTTTATTCCTTACGTCCAATATCACATTGTTATCCAGTTGAAGCAGCCTAAAAATAATTACTGTTTGTACAGCACTTATTGTTTACCTTGGCTTCTAAAGACAAATTTATCATAGGCTCTGTGCCAAGAAGTTTGTCTTGGAAGACACGGTAATTTGTAAGCATTTACCATAAAACACACACCTGGGAACAGAAGGTTTCACATCGGTGTTGATTTCACATTAGTATCCTGCTTGTTTTCAATATTATTGTCTAATTTAAATGTTGAAGATGATGATGTGAATGAAAAAGGAAGCTCAGCACAGAAGTGATAATGAATTGAAGAAATGGAGTTTCACCAGCTACTTCATAGAAATTGGAATTTGCTCAGGAGCTGCTGAGGCAGGATGAAGGAGGCTTACCTAAGAAACTGCAGAGTTTTCTTGCTGAATTGCTTGGGGTGAATTGCTTGGGGTTTGCATCCTAAAGATGCCAGGACACAAGCTGAATTACTAAATTAAAAAGCATGATCAAGTTAGCCTTCAGAATACTGTTGAATTGAAACTACTTTCCCATGGGACCAGTAGGATATTTTCCTGAAGAAAGCTGATAGTTATCTTCTTTTATTATGAAAAAAAAGGTTTTGCTGATATTATAATATATCCATTTTGCAAYATGAAGATAGTGAGTGTTCTTAATCAGCTTTTTTTACCCTTCATGGATGAGGTAATGTGTGCTTCTTCCTGGTATTTATGTCTTTGGTTTATTCAGGTTCTTTGCAAACATATTTGTGCTGCAGACTGAGATCTTATTACAGCTAATCGGAAAAAAATATGAATTTATTTTAAAATTCTCCCATATGGAAAGATGTTTTAAGATCAGTACTAACAATGACTGTTATAGTACAAACCACTGGGATAAGATTCCTTTCCAAGTGATGTGAGCAACATATGAGCTATTCTGAATCACCATTGGTATGCTCTTAACTCACCTGCCAGAGATAGTTCCACAACGAATAAATAGGTTTTGATACTAAATAAGACTTTCATTTCCTCCCTTTTTATTTGTAACCAAGTGTTATTCACTTTTTCAAGCTCCCCACGTGCTTCATGCATAGACTTTTTCTTTTCCTTAATTTATTTCTAGAAATAATATTTTCTTTTGCACTGTGCTGAAATCCTTTTYGGGAAAAGAGATGACAAAACCCTCCCTTCCTTAAGTTTTCCTACTGTGTTTTTTGTTGTTGTTACTTAGATCTGCTCTTACTGGGAGTCTAGACTGGGGATGGCGGGTAGCTAAACAGGGTAGCAAATGCGAAGCCCCCTTTCTTGCATAAGACAACGAGTGAGCCTAAAATGCCGAATGCTTGGGGTTATTTTGATGTTTTCTCTGTGCTCTTCACAGCACGCTATGCCATTCTGGAGGATCTCAAGCCACTCTGACCTTATGGCCCTTCATCATGCCTTGGAACTGGAGTACTTGTAGCAGCTCAGCAGCACTTTGAAACCCCAGAAGCTCCTGGTGCCCGCGGACGGTCCGCCTGTGTCTTGTGTCAGCATTGGGCTACAGAACTGTGTGATTTCAACATGTTGACGTGCAGCTGCAATTGGTCTTAACCCTTGCCCTTTCGGTGAGCGGAGGAGCACGTCTTTTCCTTCAGAACAGCTGTTGACTCTGGTACTGCGAGTCCAACAAAAATAAGCCATGCAAATGTTTTAACAACTCATCTTTACCTTAGTTGCTACCAAAAAGAAGTGGAAGCGAAAGAAAATGAAAGGTTCATACCTGTGAAGAAAAAAAAAAAAGAAAAGGACCTGCGAATGCTTTGTAGTTTTTAGACTCTCCAATGTGATACACAGCATTTCTTCAACACAGCAAACTTGATTGCACAATGAAGACTGAGATTTTCGAAATACCAGGGGAGTAATTTTCTTGTAAAGAAAGTTTACTTTTTGGTTTCTCATACCCAGGGTACTCTGTACATCTTTACTTATTTATGAACAGACTATATTTTGGCATCATGTAACTGAGGATATGTATAAATAGGATTGAAGGCGATTGTAAGCCTTTGCCTTATGGTACAGCAACTACTTTTGATTTTAGCACATTACAGAGTAGTTTAAAATATGTCTAATTTAAAGTAATAGGTACATCACTGAGACAATCATGTACAGGAAGAATTTTTTGTGTAAATTTGTAATAATGAATGATTCTTTTACATATTGTTAAGGTAAATGCTATTGAAAGATAGTAATGCCTTGTTGGTGAAGAATGAGGCCGTGTGTGCACAAAATATTGTGCAGTGCCTTATCAATGCGTTGGATATAAATATGTAGATAATGGATTTTTTAGATAAATTTGTCAAGACCAAAAGCATGGATGTCAAGTGTCAATAGGAATGGGGTTTTGTTCTTTCTCAGCTGTTTCTCTACCTTCTTCTCTCTCAGCTACTTTCTGAAAAGATTGATTTCTTTCCCCCCGCTAAGTAAATACAGATAAAACGAATAAGTGAAGAGGAATCTCTTGATATGTCCATTTTCCCCTTTAAYGTTAACATATTAATGTGCTTTTAGAGTATTGAAAAATGAATTACAGATTCATTCCATAAAGAAGTATATAGAGAACACAAGTATATTTTAAGATATGACTTAAAGTGGAACCTACGTACCAAATAGTTTTGTCTCATCCAAAAATAAAGAAAATGATCATCATCTTTATTTTTAGAAATTGGGAATATTTTCAGGAGATTGAGCAAGAAATATTCATACCCAGATCTATACATTTAAGTCTTTTAATCCTCTTCCACCAGGAGTCAGATTTTCCTAAGCTATAACATCCATTGCCGGCAATGGAAATACTGAAATAGTTATCACCAAGAAGCTGAAATTCGTTTCGTCTGTATCCATTTACAGGACAACCTTAGACTGTGTCTGTCTGTGACTTGTGACTTTTTCTGATCCTGAAGGCCACGAGCTACTTGGTCAGATAAACTGTGAGTCTGACTTTTCGGCCTGAATTGTACCAATTCCGTTTACCTGATTTAAATCTCTTCTTTAAAAAGAAACCTCGGCTTTGTGGGTTCTTCCTCCAGCTTTTCTTCTTGTTCTCTTTTGTTAAAAACACCAGCCTTGAAACAGCTACCTGCAAAGCTACAAAGCACCGACGTAGCTTCAAAGCAACATCCTTCTCTGTTGGAGGAATCATATTGCTGCTAGAATTCGATGTTTGTGGATTTCCAAATTGCTTTATTTGTTGCTATAACCAACAAAGAGGTTTTTGTCCTACCAAGACTTGCACATGTGCTTTACTTTACACAATATGAGTATTGGAATTCACACGGTACTCACATACAGACATAAAGCACATGCTAGGTAGTTCTTAGAATGRAAACTATAATTAGCCTTTTTTTCCTCAAGCAAAGTAGACAGTGATGGGACGTGGTTGTCTTTTCTTTTTTTCCTTTGTTCTTTTTTTTTTTTTGGCGCTTTTCAATTTTTTAGTCACTTGCAGACTGAAAAAAACAGTTTATCTGGGCCTTATTGTACAAAAAAGTGTGTTGTGTCCACCATTGTGTACAGATTTTTTCTTCATTAATTTTGTTTTAAATTAATAAAATTGATTTGTGAACGTATTAATCCTCTTGGATGCAAGCGTATGGTGTTTCTCTCCTCTAGGTCAAGAACGAGATGACATCTCTCACTTTTTCCTGTCCCAAGGCAGAAGTCCTTCACTTGCTTGTGCTGCTCCCTTGAGAAGCTAGAGTAAAAATACTTGCATGGACTTTACAAAAGATTCAGCTAGAGCTGTCGTTGCTTCGCTTACCAGGAGGTGCTAGAGGAGGTCAGTGCAGAGGAGGGCATGTGAATGGGAATTAGTGCATGGTACTCTCCTCTTTTGAAATGTGTGCCAAAGTTTATTTCTCGTAGATGTCAGGAATTTAGGTGCAGAAGTGCTTCAGAATTTGATCCAAAATAATTCATATGCTGAATAGAGAACTTCCAAAGTTTAGTTTTGCTAAGGGAACGGGTAAAGGGTGGAAGCAAGTTGAAAATCCCGCCCTTGGGGAGTTGTAGTGCCCACTTTATGGCATGCCCAGATCACTTCCATAGYAGACCCATAAACTGTTGATCCGTAAAGTGCGTTTTAGAATGACTCTTCTAATACCCTCACTTGAGTACCACCACAGAACCATCCACAAGGTCTTCCCAAGCTAGTCTGCCTGAGAAGTGTCCTCCACAACTCGTGGGCCACTCTGCACAAAGGGATGAGCTGAGCCAGAAGCTGCGTGAAAGAAATACCAGGGCCAAAGACTGAGTATCACTCAGTGCTGAAGGGAAAACCAGGTTTGGCCAGGAGGAGGACCTGAGTCCGTGAACCACACGTGTTTGGTACAATGGTTGCTCCACAGGCCTTCTTTGCTCCCCAACCCAATGAGGGAGAACCTGGAAGAAAAGGCACTTGCRGAGGAGTGGTGCTTACTCACTAGTCTAGTAGGACCTGGTTTTGTTGCTGTTTTATGTGGCGTGGCTTCAAATGGGGCAAAGGACAGTGTCTCAGCCTAGGAAATGAACAGCTTAGTCAAGCGTGGGCTTGAATCTTCTCAGAGAGYTAAAGGATTCAGTCTGCATAACTTCTCTTTTAAACTAATTGTATGATTCCAGTAGTGTTGGGCAAAAGGAGCACATTGCATCCAGTCTCTACATGTTACAGAGCTACTTGATGTCTGCCTTGCTGAGAGGATCTGATCCCACTGGTAATTAAGGTCCTGGGAGTCTCTGGTCAATCAAGTCCATAGAAGATGTAGGGGAAGAAATGTCTRTTTTTTGCTGGTGCTAGGAGTGAGCTGGAAACAAAGACTGGGTATGTAAAGAGGTCAAACATCTCAATGCAAGCAGCTCTAACTCCTTTGAAAACTGCACTATCTGTGAATTTCAGGTAAAGAACAGGATGACAATTTCATTGCACACTCCACCTCAGTCCCACTTAAGGTAACTTGCATTCTTCCATATCTAGCCCTTAGAGTCTACCTCAGTCCTGAGGAAGAGAAAATACTGTCAAAATGACCTAAATAAGAGTTAGTAAGGCCACCAAGGAAGCTGCAGTGTTACCAACCTGCATGTTCTAGAAACCTTTCTTGCTGCAGGGTGTCTGCTTTGGCAGCTTACAAGATCTGCGGTCTCACTGTACGGTGAGAGACTCTGTCAGCTCCACTGAGCCTCTTGCTGCCAGAAATTATCTTCCCTTAAAAAGCTCAAAAAATGAATTTCTGTCTGGTACAGAAAAAAAAAAAAAAAAAAAAAAAAAAAAAGGAATTCTTCTAAACAATATAATTCGGCGTATTCTGGAACAAGTGTAGTAGTTGCCATTTCATGAGTTTTTGCAAAAACCTCTGTGATTTTAGGTCTTAGATTGGAAATATTTTGGAGGCTGAGTCCCCTTGCCAGTTAGCCCTGCTTTAGCAAGCCAAGTTTAAAGCAATCTCCTTCCCTCAATGCACTGCATGAAGTGCTTGGGTGTGATCCCAGGGAAAATGCACTGTCTGTTCTGCTGAGCTGGTTTTGTGCTTAGGCTACTGTAAGATCACAACATTTTATAGATGTCCTCTTTCATGATTGTTTCTAATCTCAAATTAGACTTAAACCAAGAACAAAATGGCAAACATTTGCTTCCAGAAATTCTGTTCTGCAAACAGTGCTCTGCCAGGCCTTTAGCTATACATTACTTGACATTACCAATGGAAGTTATGTAGTCTAAATATTCTATTCTGTGAACCACCTCCTTTGATACATGAATACACATACCCTTATTAAAAAAATATGGCCTCAGGTCCCTCATTTTTTAAAACTTTCACATCTTAAAATGATTATACATACAGTACTCTTGCTGTTTTTGAGGCAAGAAAAACCAGATGCAATATATTATTCTGTAGTAATCCATTAAAGCATTGAGGTTACAGTGGCAGATCACAAGAACAGCAGTGCAAATTTTGGCTTACAACATGGAGAAGAAATTGAGATTTTTGTTTATATTTCCTCCCTTTGTTTGAAAGATGACAACCTAACAAATGAAATCAAAAACATGATCAGTCAAGGAACTGCTTCTCTCTATTTGGCTCCCTCATGGAAGTGAGATGCTCAGAGTTAAGCTCTGTCTATACATTCTCAGTGCAGCACCAGTGGTTCTGGGAAGTAGTCCACAGATACAGTTACCTAAACCCTCTCTGAAATCCATGATCTTCTTTTCTGAGCATCTCAAGGCCTATAACCGTGGTAAGGGGGAGATATGCCCATGATAAATGCTATACAATTTTTAAAGAATATGAAGGCCCTACTTAAATCCAAAAGTGACAAGATTTAGTATATAGAAAAGGGCATTAGGTTATGTAGGAAGCAAGATACCTGCTCGAGATCTGCTTTTGGGAACATCAACACYGTTCCAAGTTTCTATTTCTTAGATGCTCACCGATAGCAATGTGCAGCTTTAAAAGCTTTAGCTCTGGGAACAAAACACATCAAGATCATTGGAGCTACATAACTTTGGGGTAGGGCCAAGAAGTGGAATTAATTATTATTACTGCTGTCTTTCATGACTCGACAGCATGCTTACTAGGCAATATGTCTGTCCTCAAAATGCTTATGATGATGGCTAATAACATATACTGTTAGAAATTCCCCTTTGTCTTTTCCTTCCGCTTCCTTTTCTGCTTCTCTCARTGCTGTGCTTCTGCCCTGCAATGTGAGCAGCTGACGGGTGTCAAGAGGCTTGTTGCTTTGGGTCATTTGCTGCAACGAGGCACAACTCCCTCTACTCTTTTCCAGCAGCGAGGCTGCACAGCTACTGCTTTCGCTGTGCTCCTTTTAGCCGGGGACAGGCTGCAGAAACCACCCCCTAGTTCAACCCTGGCTAAAGCAAAGGGCTTGAAGGAAAAGTGAAAATGCAGAGGAAAACACTCAACTCCCAGGCTGAAATAAGGGGAGAAGTGTGAGGAGCAGGCACCCACCATGGCCACACGATGACCATGGCGGTGCTCTGCCCAGAGCTGTGAGCTGCTTAGAGGCCCCGCACTCTCCAGGCGCCCTCGAGCTTCTGGATGTGGATGGACAGCTTGGCCAGGCAAGGTGGGACTTAACAAGGACATACTGCAACTCAGTATAGATCTCAGGGGAGGAGTGTGTGCGTAAAGRGGAGCCTGGTGGCAGTCCCGCTCCTGGCTCTTTGAGCTCCTGTTTCACTGTTCCCATCACCTATGCCCGGCTCTCAGCCTGTGTAGGGAGGCCACGGAGTGATGTGGAAATGCATGTGCAGTTTGTGCTCTGAAGTCCAAGGAGTATTACCTGTGCCACCCT